TAGCAGGGCTTGTAAAGGGAAGTCGTCGCCATCATCTGTTGGTCGTATACATAACTTGATTTGGCTGGTAAATCCTGACACCTTCGCAGGTTTTCCACAACCTTCCTCACTGCTCTGAATGCACAGGCAGTGCTTTCCCGGTAGTCCTGTGAGTTAGCTATGATCTCTCTCTCTGTGAAGGCTGTCTTGACAAAACCTTTCCTATGGTTATCTCCCACTGGATCTGCTGTGTTATGTACCTTTTACCTTCCTGACTTAGCAGTTGTCACCATCTAGAAGCTGACGCTTGTCAGAACAAAGAATTCATGAGCAAAGATAGAAAAAATAGTAGCTCTTGCCAAGTTAGCTTTGGACAAGAGGTTTCTTATGGTGACTTCATTCCTACCATCACAAGCATAAAGAAGGTTTCAGTTATTAAAATCCTTTAGCAAACTCTAGGTTAAACAGAAAAACGTTTCCCCTGTGTAGTAATTGGATCAAAAATTGTACGTATTGTTCATTCCCTTCCTATTGGTAAATGTTTTTTTGCAATGAAATATAAACAAACCTGGATATATAAGATTTGTTAAAAGTAATTTTTCCTGAGTATCATGCTGTATAAATCCAGTCTGCAGAGAAAAGCCTCTAAAGCAAATAAGTGGTTTTAAGAAACACAAATCCTGTGCACTTTCTGGTAGAGGTTTTCTTTTATCTTGGAACACAATAAATTCCCCTCCATCTCATAAAGAGGCAAAATCTTTCTCTCTCTCTCTCTTTTCCCCCTCTGCCCCCCACCCCCAAGACAAACTTGGCAGTTAAATGAAGATACAGCTATCAAGAGGAAACTGTAAAATGATGAAGCAAACTAGTTGTGAATCTGCCAAAGGTGGCCAGCTGTATTGCTATTTCCAGCTAATTCTAAGCACTTGGAGTTTTCATCTTAATTAAAGACTAAAGGTATATTTACTGATCATTAGGATTGTTCCCTAGAACAGGTTTTATTTTATGCTTCAGGAGTGGGGGGTTGTTACAACATGCAGTAACTAACCATTAGTGTGTCTTTTCCCCATAGCCAGAGCATACAGGGCCCTGTGATTTTTTGAAAATTTAATTTGGACTGAGATACATTCCTGACGCAATGAAGCCAAATCAGTTTGACTTCGGTATTTGTATTAGATGGAACCACATTGGGTTTTTCGTTTTTTTCCTAGTTGTTTGGTTTTGGGAAAGAAGGTGTGAGTTTAACAGGGATGAAGGAAGGTATTTGTTGAAATGATTCATCTAAGTTCAGTTTGTGCAATCTTCTCTACACATCCATCTTCTATTCTTCCCACCCCGCAACTAGTCCTGCCTGTAAGAAATATTGTTGTTTGAGCAGAAATTGCCCATTGCTTTCCCTTCCTCAGGGCCTTAAAAAAAGCTTTCTAAAATTCAAAGGGAATGGGGACAGCAGAACAAGGCACCAGCTTTGTTACCTATTTAACAAAACTTAGTAAAGTTCCTGTGTGTCTTAACTACATATTTTTATCTTCTCTCAGCCCTATCCTCATGTACATGTATTAGAATCTGTTGTTTTTGGTTTTGATACTAAATTATAACCAGTGGGCATGTTTCAGGATGCCAAAAGAATGCTAAAGAAAAAAATCTACAACACACAATTATTCTCAATTTTTCAGTTAACTTATGATTGCTATGTTACTTGCCACTAAATCCCTTTTTAATGCATCTTCCTGATCAGTATTAAATAGGAAATATGAAGCCAGTTCTCTGCTGTGGGGCCTGTGACCAATTTAGTAGTTTCGATTTGGTTGAAGCAGAGTTTGTTTTGTTTTTATGAGTTGTGCTGATTTGTATTTTGAACAGATGCAAATTTGCTCTGCATCCATTGGAATGCGGTTTTGTGCTGTCTTGGTTGCCTTGGTCCCTCTCCATCCAGTACAGCTCCTAGAATGAGTTGATTCTGTCAGAAAGGCCACCTATGCACTGTAAGAGAAGAATGGTAGGACTGTGAATAATTTCATGCTTTTGCTAGTAACCTCCATCCAACTCTGGCAACTGAATAATGTTTGGCATGCACATACACAATTTAGAGCCCTCTTGTGTATGGATGGGATGTATTTCACAAGCCTATTTAGAGGACTTAAATTGTTCTTAAGATGGTAAATTTCTTTAGAGTAGACAAGGCCAGCGTGTGCTAAATCAATGAGTAACAGATACTTAAAAACAGAAAAGAAAAGAAGCTGTCTTATTTTCTACTCCTAGAGTTCAGTGTATTGTTCCACAGCTTGGCCTTCTCCAATATCATGTTAACAAAATCCTCTCCTCCTCTTCTCCTCCCCCCTCAATAACTACTTTCTCCCTCTTACCAAAAGTATCTTCCTTTTGCGTTGCCTTTTGTATGTTTGCCTGTGTTTTGGTTTTAAAGGATGAAATAGTTTTTTGTGCAGAACCCAGTAACTAACTGGCATTATTTTCTTGAAATGCCTATTTAGTGCGTAGTAAATCTCTCTGCCTGAAGTTGTTTCCCGGGCCTAAAACTGGAAACAAAGGACTTTCAATCTGAGCTGTGGTTTTGACTTCTGTCAGTCTGAGCTTGCTGTGGCTATGGAAAGAAGGCATGCAAATTCTCTCTTCAAGAAAGCGCACAAATGGTGTAGTTAAATTTAAAAAGTCTGGCTTGGTTTCTCAGCTGCAACAACTTGAACTGGGAGTCTGCATTTCAGGGTAGAACTCAAGTTTACTAGGTAGCTGCGTAAGTAGAGTGACCATACATCACAGTTTGGCCGGGGCAGCCCTGGATTTTGAAGGCTGGCCCCAATTAAAACGAGTCTTAGAATTGCAAGGGTGCGCGACCCAGTCCAGCAGAGAGGCAGAATGGGAGAACGGCATGGTGTGCCAGGCTGCTTTACCTCCCCGCTGGACTGCGCCTGTGCCCCTGCCTGCCAGCGTCTGCCACTGCCTGCAGCAGCACTGCTGACTTGAGATGGAGCAGTGTCCTGGTTTTTTATGGTCAGTCTATACTTAAGGCCTCTTACAGTTGGTGTCATGTACTAATTTAGGTAGGAGCTTCAAAAGAATAAACTTTAAAAAGGGGAAAGGGAAGACCAAACCAACCATTTTCCCTTTTATTGTATACATAAGTGAATTTCTCCTGCTGCATTGTTTGTACAAGGGATCTACAGTGCTACTAAGTTCTTACGCAAGCATGCGCATGCACCCACATATGTGCGCGTCCACACGCGCACGCACATGCACCTGTAGGCATGTATATAGTGAAGTCTTGTTGAATTTGGTGTCTAACTTGTAAAACCTCTTATTTGTGTGAGGCTTTTAGTGTTTTACATAAAACTCAGGAACAGTTGCTGCTGCTTAATTTGTAAATAAACCCATACATATCTAATATGCTGTTTAAATATGTCTGTGGGGCCTTGTTTTGAAATAGAGTTTGTGTTCTTGCATTTTCCCCATCCCTACTCAGAAATTGGCTGTGTTCAAAAATGCTTGTTGCTCTTCAGTGTAGAATTACTACATTGAAAGAAATGCATGGAAAACCTCTAGGAATATTTTTACCCTTTGGGTCTGCTATTTTGTCTTTAGATAACCTAGGTAGGTTTTGATTTATTTATGTAGTTATAATTATTGAATAAGTAAATACATTTTAATCCATTTTTGCTTTCTATCCTCCTTTTTCTTTATTGGTCTTCAAATTAATTTACACAATCAGAGGCTGGAATTCCTCTAAGTGATAACTTTGTTGCATAGTCCATACCTATGAGAACTTTGCTTCCAATCCATTTATTCATAAGAATTTGTGCTGAGGGATATACCCAGGAGGGGGCACAAGCTTCGCATATTGGCCTGAAATCCAGGTCTGTCTAAATCTGGTGTCATTTTCAATTTAATTGGTGATTGATCAAAGATTTCTGGATTTGAAAATCCTATTTGGAGAGATCCTGGTTATACTTGGCTCTTATGAAGCCATAAACTATACTAACAATTCAGATACAACAAGAGGTGATTCTTAACTGCTTGCAGGCAGGAGAGTAATGACAACATTTAAAAACAGAGATAGCTCATTTCGATCCCTTTCCATTTCAAGTTATGAATAAAATTTATAGGCCAATTATGGGGTGGAAGAATCTGTTTGAGAGACTGAGAAGCCACATGTTCTCACTGCAGCTTATGTTTTTGTGCGCGGAAGCAGGCCTTCTTGTAGCTCTTGTTCGCAGAGGTAATGCTGGATCATATAACCACATGGGAGTCTGGCAGTGCCTCCTGTAATTAACAGCACAAGGTCCACATTCTCAGCTTGGGACAGTTTTGAAGAAAGGTTAATACTGCCCAGGCCTACAAACTTACTGCTAATGAACTGCTCACGGTAATGTGGCGAGCAGCTTAAGCATGTAGGTTCAGCAAACAAAATATGGTAGAAAGCTTATATAATTAGCATCAGTGTTTTGTACAAAACACCACATCTACAATATAAACTGACTTGTCTCATTATGGGCTGTAGCTGTTACATGAATCTAATAAGACATGAATCTCCAAGACAGGAATAGGGGAATAAGAGGAGGCGTGAAATTGGATTAGAGTCTATAAACATAGATTGAATTTTGAACTCTTATGTTCCCAACCCCCAGCTAAACTAGAATTCGGGCTTCCCTTTCTCCTTCTTTTTTCTTCTCCCAAATAGATGTTTTATTCCAAGGTGTGGAAGCAGGAATATTATAAAGCAAGGATACTATCCCTGATTATGGATATTTTTTGTGAGTTTTCTTGGGCTGAAATGTTCGTCTTCTATTGAAACTTAATTGAGAGAGTTGTTTATTCTAAACTTCTAATGTGTATTAAAGATTCCTATTTTAAAGGATGAGAATGGATTAAATCTTATTTTTCTAGTGCACTGAAACTTATTTTTCTAACGCATGTAAATACCCACTTCCCTGCCTTTCTCTTGCTGTTGTCACTTGTCACTTCTGGGCAGTATATGTTCAGGTTTTTGTATGGAGAAAAAGGAGGAGAAAATACTAAAAGTTGATAGTGCAACACTGCAGTTCTTATTTTAGTTGCATAGGAATGGGAAAATATGGCACTAATGCCTCCAGAACAGCCCTTACTTTTGTCTCCATGATTATGTTCACTAGTAAGCCATGTTGTGTAGCATTTTTCAGCTTGCAATGAAAGAAACTGCTGTAATATATGCTATGATTGTACTGGGGTATTGGAAGGTTACCATGGGAATACTTATTGTTAATTTCCTGACTCCTGCACATTTTAATATTTCTACCATTAAAGCCTATTTTATGTAACGTATTAAAAATGTAAATAAAAAGCACAGGTTAAGAAATGCAAGTCAGATCGCTGGAAAAAATTCTGTAGGATAGCAGCCAGCAACCTTTTGGAGCTGCAGGTTCTTAACAATCTGGCTTGCATCTGATGTGGGCTAGTGTTGTGACCTAGCTACTGCCACTTCTTTTTGCCCCTCCTGTTTGCGCCATGGCCCCAGCTCCCAGCCATCCAACTCGGGTGCAGCAGCCCATGCTGCTGGAATGCCACCAAAGCCCTCTGATTCCTTTGGTTGGATCCAGTGGCTGTAGTCGCTGACCCTTGTTGTAGGATAATGTTTCCCAAGCTTTTCCAGCCCAAGGCACACTTGCATTCATAAACATTTTCTGCTGCACGCCTGTTAAAGCATTCCCCATCCTCATACCTATTGTAGCTCTTTGCTGTGGCAACATTCTGCAGCACACCTGTTCACTTCTAACAGCACACTTTTGTGCCATGGCACACTGGTTGGGGCACACTGTAGGAGATGAAACAGCACCTAAAATCTACTAGCTAAAGGCTGACCTTGTGAAAGCCATAAACTGAGTTGTTTGAGGGAAACTCCCAAAGCAGTCACCCTGGGGTTTGTGTCAAGGATGGTTAAATTTGAGCAACTGTAGTGGAGTGAAGAAGGAGAAAATACATTGCAGGGGCATAAGAGAAAAACGGCAAATAAAAGGGAGGAAAATCGAGAACTGAGGAGCAGCGTGGGAAAAAGAGAATTAAGGGCTACTGCATGGCAGATTTTTTTAAGTTATTTTTTGGGTGTTGTAGTTGGGAGGAGGAAGGATTAAAAAACACAGGGGCATATGAAAAAGGATGAAAAGTAGTTTTCCTCTTAAAAGAAAGGGAAGAAATGGAACTAAAGAAAGAGAGGAAGTAGCCTGAAGGAATATATTAATTGGATTAAAGCTGGTCAGAAAGGTAGGTCAGAGTTTTTGTGTATACGTAGTCATCTTGTCATCATTTAAAACTTTAAATATTGTCATTTCATTTTTTTATTATGTTCTAGCATCCTTTTTACTTAATCATCTTTCCATAAGCATTAGATAGTGTGACAGGAAAGAGGGAGAAAGAGAAGCTTATTCAGTCATATAAAAATATATGTAATTGAATCCAATCCTTATGCTGTGGTGTAATTTGAGGTGGAGAAGCGGCAAAATGTTCAATGGGGCAAGAATAAGAAATTAAGAGAATTATAAAAACAAAGGGCTTGAAGTGGGACAGAGGGATAGGTACCTCTTATGAAAAACATTAACAAATGATGGTGCTCTTCTTTTGCATGTTCTTCTTTTGTTTGAGGTTTTTAGAAATTATTGCACCAAGACACATCTGCCAATTGCCCACCAAGCCTTTTTCTGAATGCTGAGGCTAAGTACAGACAGTCAAAAAGACCAAGGCTGAATCTACTTAATCTTTGCAGGTTAGTTTTAAGCTATGTAGATTGAACCTGTAAGCGAGTGAACAAACATTCACTTTTAATTCTGGAAATGCAGCCACATGCCTGCAGTGGGGGTGGCCAGAAGCTGGGGTGTGCTAGAGCACACTTCTCTGTTTGACTGAAGCAGACAGTTTGGGGCAAGACCCACCTGACCACCCTGTGAGTGGGGGTTTGCAAGGGATGTGCAAAGCATCCTGGGATGCTGGGGGGCTCTGAGTTGACTTGAATTTGGAATGGATCTGGGACAGAAGTTCAATCGACTGATTAACCTATATCAGTTAAGTCTGATATTACATCTATCCAGTAGAGGTGCACCAATATATTGGCCCATGGCATATTGGCACTGATAAAAGGAAAATTGACATTATTGACAATCAGTTTTTTTGGGCCAGTGTGGCCAATAACGTCACCGAAAATGCTGCATGTATGTGGGCAGCTGCAGCATGTACATGGCCAGGAATGCAGCCCGGCAGCTTGGAGAGCAGCACCCAGCCAATTAAATCTGTATGTGTGTCGGTGGGGGGGGCAGATCAAGGCTCCCATGATGAGGG